CCTTTCTTTCATGGGTTCTTCAGTGCTCCTTCTAGTAAAGGTCATCAGAGGAGGTCTTTGGGAAAAGGCACTGATCAGGGATATGGAACCTTGACCCTCCTTCCCCTCCCTGTATGTTTTGAGTTTCTCTGCACTTTTCTTCCCATTTTCCTGTTTTCATCTGTCCTCACCTCATGAAGGAGATTGGAACCATCTTAGAGATCCCCTTGTCTACCTCTCATTTTACAAAGGAGGAAACTGAGGCGGCACGGGCTTGAAGGGATTTACCTGCAGTCACATGAGGTGGTGAGTGATAGAGCTGAGATTTGAACTCGGGACCTTCTAATTGGAGACCCCTCCCTCTTTACACCATACCACCTTGCCTCCTGAGTAGTAGGAATGGTTGCCGTGGGGCTCTGGTGCCAAATCTAGCATTCCCTAGCCTGTACTCCACCAGAGTACTAACAGGTGACCTGATTTCTCTTCAGCAGAAATGCATGGTATCTTATTACAGGTCTTTTGGCTGCCTCATCCAGGAATTCTAGTGGAAGAAAACCCCCTCCACTTCACAGGCCCCCTGGCAAGGGCAGAGGGGATGATGGTCCAGAATGGGGCTGCCAAAGAACAGGCGAGTGCCGCCTGCCTTGGTAGTAGTGAGCGTTTGGCATCCAGTCAGCTCTCTGCTTCGTCGTCCTCTCCGGTGTATACACGCTGCCACTGTCCCTGCTCAGGTTCAAAACCCCCTAGCAGTCTGTCTCCCTAGTGTTCTTGCCCTCTGCCCAGTGAGCAGGCTCTCCTCAGACGTTGGTCCGGAAGAACCCAGTTATTTCAAAGCTCGTCTTAGGCAGGCAGTAAGCACTTTTTGAGCACCTACTGTGTGCCGGGCACTGTGCTAAGATCTGGCACTTTACCAGATCGCTCTGTCTTGACTTCTCATCTGTAAAATCAGGGTGATGATAATACACTGTCAGCCACACAGGGCTGTTGAGAGGAACAAACGACATGGTGTGGGGGCAGGGAGGGGTGAAGACTGTAAAGCAAGCTCTAAATGTTGGCTCTTCTTCCCCCTTGGGGAGGACTGAGCATGGCAGGGCCTGGCCTCCTGGAGAGTAGTGAGGACAGCTGCTCTTTCCATGTGTCCCGCACTCAGCCTGGCCAGTTTGGCATTCTTGAGAAAACAACCAGTCTGATGTAGCCAGCTGAGTGTGAAGGACCAACTGAAAAGTCAGTCCGTTCAGCCCAGCTGGTAGATCTGGGGCCAGGAGAGGTGGGGACTCCCAGGTTGGGGACAGGCTGCTGGCCTGAGTCAGCCAGCGGAAGTTTTCTCTTCTCCTGACCCAGCCCCAGTGCGGGCTTATCCCACCAAGGACCTGCAGCATAAACTCCCATGGCCGGCCAGAACCTTCCATAGATTTCCCTCCTGGATTTGTGGGATTCTCACGTGGTATTATGGTAGAGAGACATAGGTTCGAATCCTGCCCCTGGCAGTTGCTAGCTGGGGTAGGCAAGCACAGTACAAAACACAGAGACTTTGGGATCTGAGGTCCTGGCTTCACATCCTTGGATGAATCCTTTCTCCTCCCTAGGCCCGTTTCCCCATCATTAAAAGGAAGGTGTTGAACTAGATGACTTCTGAGTTTCCTTCAGCTCAAAAATTATACCCCTCTAATCTGACAGTGGACAAGTCCCTTCACAAGTCTGAGCCTCAGTTTCCTGATTTGTAAAATGAAAAGGAGTTAATGACTCCAAGTAGAGGCCCTGTGAGTTCCTTTCCAGTTGCAGGTGTTTGGTCCAGTGACCAGTTGTGTGACCATGGGCAAGTTTTTAATTTTACTTTTGAGCCTCAGTTTCCCCATCTGTAAAATGGAGACCATACCTGTAAGTGCCTACCTCACAGGCTTGTTGTGGTGATCAGTTGAGGTAATGCATATGAAGCCATTGCAGACTTAAAAACTCTTTAGTAACATCAGTCATTGTTTTAACGTGATGGGGTTGCTCAGAATAGGGTATGCCTGTGCCGAGTAAATCTCATTTTAGTCATAGGGTCTTATAGTTGGGAGGAACTTGGGAGATTATCTTAGCCAACCAATTACACTTCACTTCTCTCCCCACTCGGCTTTACAGATGGAGACACTGAGGCACAGAAGTGTGGTGATTTTGCCAAGGTGCATTAGTAGATTAGTAGTAAAGTAATGGGATTCTAGTCAAGGACTCACTCCCCCAGGACCTAGAGCTGGGCATCATTTTATTTACCATGCTGGGCCCCTTATACCCACCACCCTTAGCCTGTAAGAATACATATAATGGTTTCCCAGCAAGGGAAAAATTCTGTGGAAGATACCATTTAGTCAGTCAACATTTATTGTGGTTAAGTCTTTTTTTTTTTCTAGTCTTGTCTCTTCATAATCCCTTTTGGCAAAGATCCTGGAGCGGTTTGCCATTTCCTTCTCCAGCTCATTTTACAGATGAGGAAACTGAGGCAAACAGGGTGAAGTGACTTGCCCAGGGTCACCCAGCTGGGAAGTGTCTGAGCCAGATTTGAACTTAGGAAGATGAGTCTTCATGACTCCAGTCCTCTATCTACTCCGCCACCTTGCTGCCTAAAGTATTTATTAAGCACGGAGTATTTGCCAGACATTGCTGGAGGCTGGGGGCACTACAGACAGAAGTACTTACCCCGCCCTGTAGCACAAGGCCGGGCACATTTTCCATGGAGAATCCAGGAAGTAAGAAAACGTTCCTCTGTTTTGGCAAACGTCCCTCCAGCACCTTTGTTTGTAACCCACCGTGGGAAATGCCTTGGCCTTCCTTGTCCCAGCCCTAGGCCCATAGCTCCCTTCCTCATCTTACCTTCACCTTGTCCAGCCTGCTCGTTTGTTGAATGGGGAAATGGAGGCCAGAACCGAGCCCCGTTCCCCGGTGACCCCTGCCTTTCTCAGCTCATTACACATTCCTGTCTTTCTCACCCTCTTACCTTTCAGCCACACTGGCCTGTGCCGTTTCTCAGCCCTTCCCCCACCTTCTCCCTGTGCCTTTGGGCAGGCGTGGAAGGCATCCGCCTTCAGATGCTGCTGCTGGCACTGCTGATACGAACTTGGGCAAAGTCAGGGGGCCACTTGGGACTCCAGTCTCCTCTGTGAGGTGAGAGGATTGGATACGTCGCCCTCCAAGATCCTGTCCAACCCTCACAAGAATCTTGGGCCTCTGTATACTGTATATATATACAAAGTATGTTCTATATATTTGTATATCATTTGTTTCTCTTTTTCACCAAGCCCGGCTTCTTCCCAATAGGTTGTGAAGTGGTTGCAGTGCTGACCTGTTTCCTTGTAGTTTTCTATCCCCAGTGGGTTGATACATAGTAGATCCTTAAATGCATGTTGAGGGAGAGGCTGGCAAAGCTTCAGTAGGGAGGGTTTGCAAGGTAAGATCGTATCTTTGTGACCCCATTTGGGGTTTTCTTGGCAGAGATACTGGAGTGATTTGTCATTTCCTTCTCCAGCTCATTTTACAGAGGAGGAAACAGGGCTAGTTCGATGACTTGCCCAGGGTCACACAGCTAGGAAAGTATCTGAGGCGGATTTGAACTCCGGAAGTGGAGTCTTCCTGATACCAAGCCCAGAGCTCTCTCTCCACTGTACCACTTAGCTGCCTAAGATAAAATTAGTGGCCGTATTTATCCTGAATCCCAAATCACCCTATTGTATGCAGTAGGCAAGAGTGTCCCCGGCTTCTCCCCCCTTCCCAATTCCCTTCCTGCTGCCCTGGCAACATAAGCTGGGCCACCGGCCTCCCTGGCTGGGGAGAGCCAGTCCTGGGGAGTGGAGCCCTGGGGGACTGCTGCCCCCTAGTGGGCCCCGTATACGTAGGCCAGCCACCGAGTGGACCCTGCTGCCCTCTAGTGGCAGGGATTTCCAGGCCGTGTGTTCTTAGAATTCTCAGCTGCACTAGAGGAAATTGTCGATTAATCAGGCATTCATTTAAATGCCTTCTCTGCTGTGAGCACGGAGGCGAAGAATGAAGTAGCCAGTGCCTTCAAGGAGTGTTAATGATAGCATCAAGGTCAGATTTCTAGAGCGATTGAAACAATCTGCTTTATTCTCCCATGTTCCCAGGAGCAGAGCCTGGGACTGGGTGTCGGACCTCTTTTAAGTTGTTGAGGTCTAGAATTGGGCATTTTTTGGTGGCTGTGGACAAGTCATTTCCCCTCGGCATCTTTAACTGTAAATTTAGGCATTTTCAGTAGGTAGCTGTTAAGGTCTCTTCCCCTCCTCCTCCCCGCTCTCTGGGCTAGACCTAGTGGCAGAAATGTACACCTAAAAGGGGCTTTATTCGCAGCTAGTTTGGCCCCCCCCTTATTTTACAGGGGAGGAGACAGAGGCTCAGTGACTTCCGCCCAAGGGCACACAGGTAGTAAGGGCTCCTAGGGTCATAACTCTAGAGCTAAAAGGGACCTCACAGACTGTCCAGTTGAACCCCCTCCTTTTACAAAGGAGGAAACAGAGAGCTGAAGTCTGCCCAAGGATACACAAGTAATAAGACCATAGGATCTTGGCTTTGGATGTGGAAGGAACTTCAGAGGGCAGGTAGTACAACCCTTTCCTTTTAGGAAACTGAGGCACAAGATAAGTGACTTGGCTAAGGTCATACAAGAAATAAGCAGTCCAGCCGGGGTTCAAGGTCAAGTCCCCTGACTCTAAATCTAATTTATTTCTACTGGGTCAAGCTGCTTCCCAATTCTCATTTTATTGATAAGAAAGCTGAGGGCCAACGGAGGTTAGAGGCCAACGGACGCATAGATAGCAAGTGACAGAGCTGGTTCTCCAGGTCCACATCCAGCATTCTTTCCACTAAACCATTCCTACAACCTGATACTGCCTTCTTTGGACCTCAGTTTTCCAATCTACAAAATGGGACTTCAGCCAGGTCCTCCCAACTCCAGAACCGGCATTCTTTCCACTGAATCATATCTACAACCTGACACTTCTTTCTTTGGACCTCTTTGGACTTTGCCTTTCCAGTCTGCAAAATGGGACTGCTTTGCATCTGACCTTACATGACTGCTGTGAGCTTCGTGGATAGATGTGAAACTGCATCTTGGGTGGCTCCTGTTTCTGTGGTAGCTGGTGGTTTACAAGGTACCGTCCCATCTCTTGTCATCTGACATATATAGAAACTTAGCCAGACTTGCCTGGGGTCACATAAAACGTAAAAACGAGGTGGAGGCTTTTTTTTGTCTTTGTATCCACAGTGACTGGCACATAGTAAGTGCTTTATTTTCCCTGCTTCCCTCTTAGCCTCTCTGTGGCTTAACTCTGGCACTTGACTCAAGTCTCACTTCTGATAGGAGAGCTTTCTCATTGCCTTTTTTTTTCCTTCTGGTTGATGGGGTTAAGTGACTTGCCCAGGGTCACATAGCTAGTATCAAGTGTGTGAGGCCAGATTTGAATTCAGGTCCTCCTGACTCCAGGGCCGCTGCTCTGTCCACTGCGCCACCTAGCTGTCCCTTCATTGTCTTCTAAAGTCACCTTCCATCTCCTAGATAGATTTAGTACATTCATCTTTATTTACACATTGCCTCTCCCATTAAGGCCGCTAGGTGGCACCATGGTGCACAGAGCACCTGGACTGGAGTCAGGAAGACTCCTTATCATGAGTTTAAATGTGGCCTCAGATAACTTCCTGGCTGTGTGACCCTGGGCAAGTCACTTAGCCCTGTTTGCCTCAGTTTCCACATCTGTAAAAATGAGCTGGAGAAGGAAATGGCAAACCACTCCAGTATCCTTGCCAAGAAAACCCCAAATGGGGTCAGGGAGAATCAGACATGACTGAAATACAACAAAACTCCCCCATCAAACTGGGAGCTCCTTGAGGGCAGGGACTGTCTTTTGCCTCTCTTTGTATCCCCAGTGCTTAGCTCAGTGCCTGGCTGTTGGCTTATTGATTTATCAAATGGTTGACAGAACCAAGATTTTGATCCAGGTTTCCTGGTTTTCCCAGCCTGGGACGGCCTCTGTATCATACCGCTGGGATTTAGAGGTCTGGGAGAGCAACGACTTAATTGATGGTGTCCCTGGAGTAGAGGTGGGCCACTAACAACCTTCACCCTAAGATCAGCCGAAGTCTCCAGGGGCACGGCACGCTGCTGGTTTTGGAAATTGAGATAATCATTTTTATTGTTTGGTCATCTAATTTGGGGTTTTCTTGGCAAGAATACCAGAGTGGTTTGCCATTCCTTCTCCAGCTCATTTTTACAGATGTGGAAACTGAGGCAAATGGGGTTAAGTGACTTGCCCAGGGTCACACAGCCAGTAAGTGTCTGAAGTGAGATTTGAAATTGAGTCTTCCTGACGCGAGGCCTGGCACTCTACCCACTGGACCTCCTTGCTCCTTCTCATGTAAGTAAAGTTTTGCAAATCTTAAAGAACTTTATAAATTCCAGCTATTCTTAATAGAAGGGACTTTTCAATTATCCAGCCACTATCCCATCCTCTGAGTTTACAGTGAAGAGATGAAGGCCTGGATTTGGGGGGTAACTCCTGCAGGTCACATAGGTGATAAATGTCAGCGCAGATTACGGTTGAGGTCCTCTGGCAGTTTTGGCCATGGCGCTACTGTAGGACCAAAGGCGAGCTTATCAAGTTGAGCTCCCAACTCCTTGTTAATCTGATCACCTGGAGTGCTGTGTTCTATTCTGAGCACCAGTCCACCAGGTAAGTAGTAAGTGCTGTGTGCCAAGCACCATGCTAGGCACAGGAAGAAAGCTTCTTTCTTCAGTGGACGTTCACAAGCTAGAGGGACATCACAGGGTGGCCTGAAGAGTCAGTGAAACTAAGTTTTTGTTTTTGTTTTGAGGCAATTGGGGTTAAGTGACTTGCCCAGGGTCACAAAGCTAGTGAGTGTCAAGTGTTTGGTCTGAGGCCAGATTTGAACTCAGGTCCTCCTGACTTCAGAGCTGGTGCTCTATCCACTGTGCTACGTAACTGCCCCTTGAAACTCCGTTTTAATGGAACTAGAGCTGTTTACACTGAAAAAGACAGAAGACTCGGGAAGGGATATGATGGCTGTTTTCCAAGTATTTAAAGGGTTTTGGAGAAGTAGGTGGTTAATTTTTATCTGCTTGATCTTGGTCAAGTTCATTCTGATTCAGAGCTTAAAACTTTTTGGGGTCCTGGACCTCTTTGGCAGGTGGGTAAGACCTGTGCGCACTTCTTCAGAATAGAAAATGAAATATACAAGGTTATAAAAGGAAACTAATGACATTGAAAAAAGATGTAGTTTTTCCCCCTATTTAAGCTTTCAGATCCCAGGTTAAGAATCCTTGCCTCTGATAGCTCTCTGGAGGAGGTGAGAGAGAGGGATAGATTTGGAAATGATGTCAATAAACATTGAAAAAAAAATAAAGTAGATGCTTAAAAAGTCACTTTGCTCCTCTGAGCCTTGCTTTCCCCATATGTAAAATGGAGATGGTCATGTCTACGCAGTTGCAGGCTGCTTGTGTGAACTGTGGAGTGCTAGAGCAGCAGGGGCAGAGAGGGGCATGACCAGCCTCTTCAGGGCTTCATGAGGGTCAGATAAGGTTGACCATGGGAATGTAATCTCTATGTGTGGGACCAGTGTGTTGGGTGGTGGTGTTACTCTACCAAGGGGAGGCTGGACTGCATGTACTCCCAACTCTGATGTTCCCATTCTTTTGTTTTGTTTGTTTTTGTTTTAAAATTTTTAAAATAATTTATTTTTAGTTTTCAACATTCACTTCCATAAAAGATTTTGAATTTTAAATTTTCTCCCCCTCCCCAAGACGGCATGCAGTCTGATGTGGGCTCTACTTACACATTCATATTAAGGGTATTTTCACATTAGTCATGATGTATGGAAGAATTAGAACCAATGGGAGGAACCACGAGAAAGAATAAACCAACAAAGGAAAAGGAGAGCAAATAGTATGCTTGACATTCCCTGTTCTGAGGCCCCTCCCAGCCCTGGGACATTCCCTGTTCTGAGGCCCCTCCCAGCCCTGGGACATTCTCTGTTCTTAGGCCCCTCCCAGCTCTGACATTCTCTATTCTAAGGCCCTTCCCAGCTCTGGGACATTCCCTGTTCTGAGGTCCCTCCCCAGCCCTGGGACATTCCCTGTTCTGAGGCCCCTCCCAGCTCTGACATTCTCTATTTTAAGGCCCCTCCCAGCCCTGGGACAGTCCTTGTTCTGAGGCCCTTCCCAGCTCTGAGACATTCCCTGTTCTGAGGTTCCTCCCAGCCCTGGGACATTCCCTGTTCTGAGGTTCCTCCCAGCCCTGGGACATTCCCTGTTCTGAGGCCCCTTCCAGCTCTGACATTCTCTATTTTAAGGCTCCTCCCAGCCCTGGGACAGTCCTTGTTCTGAGGCCCTTCCCAGCTCTGGGACATTCCCTGTTCTGAGGCCCCTCCCAGCTCTTTACCTAACCATGCCCCAATACCCTCTGGGGCCTGAGAGAGTGGGGGATGGTGCAAAGGAAATTGTTTGAGGTCAGTGCACTCAGAAGAGGCTGCACCTTCAAGAGACTCAAGGTGGAGAAATTTCCTGTCCCTGTGCTGGAGGCTCGCAAAACCTGCTATCAGATGGAGAGCGCTGCCTGCCATCAAAGGAGGAAACCTTGATGTGGCTGAAGAAAGGAGCCCTTGTCTTGAGAACAGAGACTCTGGACCGAGGAAATCTCCTTGGGATGGAGCTGGCAGAGGGGGCACGCAGGTGGCCAGCTTCCCTGCAAAGATGGCCTGCCTGGGGCCTTCTCAGTGGAAGACCTCCCCTCCCCCCTTCAGTCAAGGGGCTGGGATTGAGTGCAGAGGAAACTTGGAGCCCTTGAGCAAGTAACGCCTCCTTCCCAAGCCTCAGGCTCCCTGGATCATCTGAGTGGTGATTTCACCTTTACGTGGGGATCCCCCTGAAGGCGATGGAGGGGGGGCCACAGCATGTAACCAGGGAGGAGTCCCCAAAGAGCTGGAGGGAAGAGGGTCAACAAGGAAATTGTAGCGGGGAAGATAGCGTGGGTCATGTGATGATGGGGGCTGGCAGAGTGCTCCACTGAAAACATACAGTGTATCTGCATAGTGGATAGAGTGGACAGGATCATCTTCATCCAGCCTAGCTGTGTGACCCTGGGCAAGTCACTTAGCCCTGTGTGCCTCAGTTTCTTCCGCTGTAAAATGAGCTGGAGAAGGAAATGGCAAACCATCTCAGTATCTTTACCAAGAAAACCCCAAGTGAGGTCACAAAGAGTTGGACATGAGTGAAAGGAAAGGTCCAACCTCTCTTTCAGAGAAGGAAACCCAACCCGTTTGGTTTCCAGTCAAGGGTTCTCATTATGGGCCTGTATTTATTTTGCATTATCAAGATAGCTTGAACTGTTTGCCTTTTTTGTCTGTAGGGAAAACCCACACTAGTCCCTTTGACCCTGGGTAAGTAATTTCCCCACTTTGGCTCTGCTTCCACAATGGAGACAGGGCTTTTATCTCACTGAGATCAGAGAACCTTCACCCAGGCCGGTGTTATGTTGCCCTGCCCTGCCCTCCTCCACTTCATTCCTTGAGAACTGTATTCACATCAGCAGTCCCGCCTCCCCTGGGGAGGATGTAGTGCATCAATGAACAGTCTCATGGTTCCACTCACCAATTCTGATAGTGCATCAATGAAAAGTCACTCATGGTTCCGTTGACTAACTCTTGATCCCAGATGATAGCATCATGCTTGACCGCTAGGTGGCGCTATAGTGCATAGAGCCTTATCTTCACAAGTTCAAATCTGGCCTTAGACACTTAACTAGCTGAAATTGGGCAAATCACTTCACCCTGCTTGCCTCCATTTCCTCATCAGTAAAATGAGCTGGAGAAGGAAATGGCAAACCACTCCAGTGTCTTTGCCAAGAAAACCTCGCATCTGGCTTCAGACACTTGTTAGCTGTGTGATCCTGCACGAGTCACTTCACCCTGTTTGCCTCAGTTTCCTCATCTATAAAAATGAGCTGGAGAAGGAAATGGCAAACCACTCCACTATCTTTGCCAAGAAAACCCCAGATGGGGTTCCTGAAGACAGGGCTGAACAACGAACTCCATTCTGGCTGCCAGTCTCCTTTGTGGGCTGTTTCCTGCATTAGGATGTAAGCTCCTTGAGGGCAGGCAGAGACAGCACAGAGTTCAACAATAAGTTCTCTTCATCCATCTGTGAAGTGCCTAGGTGATCTTTTGCATCCTTTCCAGCTAAATCTATGACTTGCCACCACCCTAGTCCAGGCCCCCATCTCTTCTTACCTGGGCAATCGCAGTAGCCTCCCAGTTTGTCTCCTTGCCTCCAAGTGGGTAGAGTGTTGGACCTGAAAGGAAGACCTGAGTTCACATCCAGCCTGAGAAACTTATTAGCTGTGTGACCTTGGGAAAATTAATTTGACCTCTGCCTGCCTCAGTTTCCTCATCTGAAAAATGGGGATAACAACACCTGCCTCCCAGGATGGTTGTGAGGATCAAATGAGATAATATTTGGAAAGCTCTTTGCAAACCTTAAGCTGTATCCTCCCCTGTCCAATCCATGCCGCACACAGTGCGGATGTAATATTTCTTAACGCACAGGTCTGACCATGTTACTCTTGCTCAATAACCCCGAATGGCTCCCTGTTGCTCCTAGGTTCAATTACACGCTGCTCTGCTTGGCAGCAATATCACTTTCCAGGTTGTTCATTACCTCCTTTGAAGCACGCTGGCCTGGCTAGACTGGTCATAACTGTTCCTCACACACAACATGCAGTCTCCTATAGGGCCACCTTCTGTACAGGCTGTGTCTCATGCCTGAAATGAACTTTCTCTCTCCCACCTCTTATATTCCTTTGTTGCTGGTCTGTTGTTTCTGACTCTTCGTGATCCCATTTGGGGTTTTCTCAGCAAAGATACTGGAGCGGTTTGCCACTTCCTTCTCCAGCTCATTTCACAGATGAGGAAACTGAGGCAAACGGGGTGAAATGACTTGACCAGGATCACATGGCTAATAAGTGTCTGATTCCTGACTCTATCCACTGCACCATTTAACTGACCACTGCATAGCCCCTCAAAAAATGTTTGTTGATTGACAAATTGATTTCCTGATGGGCCAACAGATTTGGAAAGATGCCATGTTGAGGTTGTGGCCTGTGCTACAGCCATTTAAAGTGCGATGCTGATCAGGGCTACCTGAATTTGAACCATCTACCCCAGGGATTTGGGCCATGTCATTGCACATGGCGCTGCAATGATATGCAGCCTATAACTGGTGGGGAAAGAAAAAGAAACAAACATTTGCAGGCACCTACTGTGTGTCAGACACTGCTCAGAGCCTTACAAATGTCTCATTTTACCCTATCTGGAAAGTAAATGGTATTATCTGTATTTTACAGTTGAGGAAACTGAGGAAACAGCAGTGAAGTGACTTATCCAAGGGTCACGCAGCTAGGCTGGCAATGGGGTTAAGTGACTTGCCCGGGGTCACACAGCTAGTAAGAGTTATGTGTGTGAGGCCAGATTTGAACTCAGATCCTCTTGAATCTGGGGCCAGTGCTCTGTCCACCGTACCACCTAGCTGTCCCTACTAGGCTGGATTTTAACTCAGATCTGATTCCAAGCCCAGCCAGCATCCTCTCCACTGTGTCACCTAATCAAACATGATGAACAGTTAGAAATGGGTTCTGATCTTTGTTCAGATCCTTCTCTCAGCCTGCTTACTTTCCTCCATCTGTAAAAATGAGGGGCCCCTCCCAGTTCACACATTCTGTGCTCCAAGGTCCCACCCAACCGTGACATTGTGTGCTCTAATGCCCCCCTTTCTTTTGTCACATTCTGTGCTCTAAGGTCTCTCCCATATGTGACATTCTCTATTATAAGGCCCTTCCAGCTGTGACATTCTGTGTCGCAAGGGCCCTTCCAGCCCTGACATTCTCTATAGCTCTAGCCTCCCAAAGCAGCATGTGTATCCCAGGGTGGGCGTCAGCCTCCCACGATATTTCAGACTTTAAGGAGGTGAAGCTGAGAAATTCGAGGGGAGGGGAGAAGGATTCAGGGCTCCCTCAAAAGCAATTCTAGCCAAAAAGGAAGAGGAGGGGGTCGGTGTCAGATCCAGCTCTGTTTGCTTCGGATTTCAATAAACTGGTGAATAAATACAATGGAGTCTCTGATCATGAGGACTTGAATCGGGCACTATGGCAACCAGAGAAGGTGCATTCCCCCCCCCCATTCCCAAGGCACAGGCAGCCCCTAGGGGAGCACCTCATTCTAAAACTGGGAGACTTAGGAGGTCATGGGTTTAGGACTGAAAGGGACCTGTAGAGGAAGTGCTTCTCTTGGCAATGGAGTCCACACCTCTTCCTTTACAGATGAGGAAATTGAGGCACAGAGTTTAAGTGACTTGTCCAAGGTCACAGGAGTTATGATCGGCAGAACTTGAACCCTCCAACTCCAAATCCAGCTCTCCTTCCACTACACCAGCACTACTTCTTGGGAGGGACTGGGGGCTGGATGGAAAGACCTCGGTCTGATGGTTTGAGGGGCAAAACTTACCGGAAAGAAGAGGTGAAGGACCTGCCTGTCTGAGCTGACTTGAGTACGTAGCTCCATCTGACCTTTGAGGCTGGAAAGACAGAGACCCTGGGCTTGGGGAGCCATGGGCTGATGGGGGAGACTCCAGTATTTTTTTTTCTGTGCTGGGCAATGGGGTTAAGTGACTTGCCCAGGGTCACACAGCTAGTAAGTGTTATGTGTTTGAAGCTGCATTTGAACTCAGGTCCTCCTGAATCCAGGGCCGGTGCTCTATCCACTGCGCCACCTAGCTGCCCCTACGGGGAGACTCCAGTATGATGGCGTACTCATCCTGTGTGAAGCCTAAACCCGACAAAGAATACAGTCCACCTTAGGAGGGCTCTGTCAGGTGGGGGAGTCCCAGGCAGTCCAAGGGGGACCAGGGGGATGGAGAGCCCAGTCAGGTAAGGGAGACAGCTCTCTTCCTCCACCCTAAGGGAGGGAGGGGACACAGAAAAGACGGGAGATCATGAAAATGAGCTCAAACCAGAGAGACCCATGAGATTAGGGGGTGGAGACATGACGCTGGGCTGTTGACAAAATTGTGCTTAGCCAACCATGCCCCTTAGCCAAGCCAGCCTCAGTTTCCCCTTGGGAAGGGTGACCACATTGACAGCTTCTGGGGACCATCCATGAAGCCACGGGTCTCGAACCCCTCGGAGGAGCCCCGCCCCTTTCTCTTCCAAAGGCGGAGTCGACCCTGTACTATTCATGACCTAAGGGAAACTGAGGCTGGGGAGTGTGCTGGGTTGGAGGGGAAGAGGCGCATGGGTGGAGGACCCAGGAGTCCAGCTGCCCAGTTTGCCGAGGGGCGGGGCGGGAGCTTAGGGCTCCGCCTCCCCCCTTCCCTGCCCCCTCCCAACAGGCGCCTACACTTGCCTCACTCCTAGCTTTGGGCAGCCCGGGCGGCCTCAGTTCTCAGCCCGCGCGTCCTGGGCCCAGGCGGCGGCGGTCCATGGCAGACCCCGGACCCCCAGCCCCGGCCGCGGCCCCGACGCCGGCCCAGGCCCCCGGCAAAAAGGAGCTGAAAATCGTGATCGTGGGGGACGGAGGCTGCGGGAAGACCTCGTTGCTGATGGTTTACAGCCAGGGGGCCTTCCCGGAGGTGAGGGCCGGAGAGAGGGGCAGATGGGAAAACGGGGATTGGGGGGGAGTGCGCCAGCCCCTTCCTCAGCTTCGATCCTGCCTCTGCTCTCTGCCCGTGCCAACTGTGAGCTGGACGTCCGGCTGCCAGGGACCAAGGCGCTCGGAATTCCCCTGCGGGAGGCGGCTAAAAGAGATGCGGGGAGGGCACCCAGGCTCCAGGCAGGGCTATCCCGCGAAGGGTAACTGGTCTGGCGGTCAGCAGCTCTCCGCCTCGTCTCTAGGTCCTCCATCTCTTGGCCCCCACCCGCAGGCTCTCGCTTACAGCAGTAGGCTCGGGGGTCGTCCTGGGGCTCCCCTTGCAGACACACGTCCCGTGGCAGGCGTCCCGTGGCAGGCGCGTGGGATGGGGTGTATGGGACCGGTTCCCTCTCCTTCCCCAGGTTTGGAGATGCCACTTCCCCCAGTCTAGTTCCCCTCCCAGAGGAACTCTGTAGTGGGGTTAGAGGGAACTCCTTCCCCAGGTCATCCAGGGAGAGAAGAGATGTGAGGACTTGGCTACTTTTGCGGGATGGGGGGGGGAGGTGGAAAGTCCGGGTCCTCAGGCACCCTGCTGGGAGTACGCCCTTCTGGAGGGGGTTGTCTCTAGGATTCTCCCAACCCTGACCACTCCCCTGATGTCTCCGTCTTCCCCCTCCCCCAGCGCTACGCCCCTTCTGTCTTTGAAAAGTACACCACCAGTGTGACCCTGGGCAGCAAGGAGGTGGTGCTGAACCTCTATGATACAGCAGGTGAGTGGGCATCCCCAGGGACTTCCCAGCAGGGAGGGGGAAGGAGCAGGGTATCCCCAGGGGCCTGAGCCTCTCTTGACCAAGCACTCACTCCCAGCCTTGGTCCTCTCCCAGCAGGGGCAGAGGAAGCTGAAGCACCCCAGGATGCTATTAGTAGTAGTAATAATTAATAATAAAACAGCCATTAGTTGATAATTAGTAATTATTATTAATAATGAACTCTATATGTATTTAGTCTTTAAAGTATACTGGTGACTTGATACATTGTGGGGGGAGGGCCTGGGGGTCCAAGGGGAATATAAAGGATAGTCCAGAGCTTCTTGATATTTGGGGGGTCATGGACACCCTTCTGGTGATCACATGTACCTATAGACCCCTGAGAATAATGTTTTTAAATGATTGAAGGAAATTCTCATTTCAGTTAAAGGTTAGGGAAAATAAAGATGCCACTTTTCCCCCATTCAAGTTTATAGATACCTTTTGCCCTGGAATCTGTCCATGGGTCCTCTGGGTGGTCCATTAAGAACCCCTGCTCTAGGACAGCCTATTAAGCTAGGAAAGATTTGAGGCCCGGACCAGTCAAGCAGCTAGAAGAGGCTCAGCCCCTCTCAGGCAAAATGGCAACCAGTTTGTGAGGCCTAGCAGCTCCAGAGTGCCATTCACAATTACCAAGGGGTAGCCTTCTCTGCCCCCACACAATGACATCACAGATGCTTGAAATATTAAGGAGAGGGCGGGGCTTCTAGGATCCTAGAATTTGGAGCTCAAGGGATCTTTGAGAGATCATAGAATCCACTTCGATCCTTTTACAGCTGAGAAAGCTGAGGCCCAGAAAGGACTTGCTTAAGATCACATAGTAAGTTAGCTGTTTTTCACTAATTTTCATTCGTGTCTAGCTCTTCTGTTATCCCCTTTTAGGGTTTTCTTGGCAAAGACACTGGAGTGGTTTGCCATTTTCTTCTCCAGTTCATTTTACAGATGAGGAAACTGAGGCCAACAGGGTGAAGTGACTTGCCCAGGGTCACATTTAGAGCCTACTATTTGATCCTTAGGACAACTCTGTGAGGTAGATGGTGTTATTGTCCTTATTTTACAGTTGGAGAAACTGAGGCAGACAGCAGTTAAGTGACTCGTCCAGGGTCACACATCCAGTATATATTTGAGGCAGGATTTGAACTCAGGTCTTCCTGAGTGTAGGCCTAGCACTCTATCCACTGCACCACCTCACTACCCCAAGAGTTAGGTTCTGACATCCTCCTTTGGCGTTTTCCAAAAGATTCCTCAAGTTGGAGGGATCGATCCATCAATCAGTAAACATTTATGTAATACCTGCTATGCGCCAGGCACTGTGTGCCAAGTGCTAGGGATATAAATACAAAAATGAGATCATTCCTGTCTGTAAGGAGCATGGAAGGTTGGATTCCATACTCTGACCCCTGGGAGGTTTGACACTTCCCTCACAAGTCTGGGCCCAACCTATCCCCCAGGAAGGTACCAAATCTTAGCTAAGGCTGAGCCTAACTACGGCTCCTGAGCCAGGGGCCCTGTACCAGTGTTGATCATTGCTTTGATCATTTGGAGAGAAAGATCTGGGTTGGCTTTCACTGGGATCAAAATAAGTGTCTAGAACTCTCTGGCCTCTGCTAGAGCCCCTCCAACCCTAGGCTACAGAAACAGATTCAGAAAAGAAAGGAACCTTCGAAATCATGGAGCCTAAAGCCCTGATTTTACACAACATAGGTCCGTTCCAAGTCCAAACAGATGGGACTGGGGTAATATGGAGGAGGCTGGAGTTGGGGGGTGGCCCGAGTCTTGGAATGAGCAAATATCAGAGCAGGGCGGGGATGGGACATCACAGAATGGCAAACTAGAAGGGATTTTAGACCAGAGAATCTGTTGATCAGATTGTCAGGGCCGGGAGGGACATCAGCAGATAGACTCACAGAAATGGATCAGATATTAAACTGACTATAGCCTGGCTACACTGGGAGAGATCTTAGAATACAATGTCAGAGCTGGGAGGGCACATAGGATATAGAATGTCAAAGTTGGAAATGTATCTAGACCATACAGTGTGTCCCAAGTTGGGAAGTGTCTTAGATCAGGAGTATCAAAGTCCCATAGAAATGGGAATCATTAAACCGTGCATAATAATCCCTGCAAGCTCTTATTTCTCAATTATATTTAATCTGCTTTGGGCCACAATTGGAAGTGGGCCACTTCCAGGTGTCTTAGAGCATTAGAATGTCAGGGCTGGGAGGGATTAGATAGGATCAGATATAAGATAATGTAGGATTCAGAGCCAAGAGGATACTTAGAACATAGAATGTCAGAGATAATAACTTCCCTAGGATGTCAAAGATGGGAGAGACCTTAGAACATGGAATATCAAGGGTCCTTAGAACATGGAATGTCAGAAAGGAAAAGGACTTTATACCATAGAATGTCAGAGATAATAGTGTCCCTAGGATGTCAAAGATAGAGGGACCTTAGAACATGGAATATCAAGGATCCTTAGAACGCGGAATGTCAGGGCTGGGGGAGAGGGGTCTTTAGAAAATGGAATGTCAGAAGGGGAAGGGACTTTATACCATAGAATGTCAGAGATAATAGCTTCCCTAGAATGTCACATATAGGAGGGACCTTAGAACATGGAATATCAGGGGTTCTTAGAACATAGAATGTCAGAGATAATAGCTTCCCTAGGATGTCAAAGATAAGAGGGTCTTTAGAACATGGAATGTCAGGGGTCCTTAGAACATGGAATGTCAGAAGGGAAAAGGACTTTATACCATAGAATGTCAGAACTGGGAGGGACTTTAGTTCAAAACATATTGGGGTTAGAATGCTATTTCACATGCAGATACTTTCATGTTTGCGAATGCTTTCTTCACAAGAACCCTAAGCAGTAGATACACTGTTTAGAGATCACCTAATCCAGGCCCATCATTTTTGAATGAGTCTCAGAAAAGGAAAGTGACTTGCCCAGGGTCACATAGGCAAGTGTAGAGACCCTTGCAGTTAATGATGGGTTTAGGGTAGCAGGAGGACAGGAAATCCATATTGTCATATTCTTGATTTTAGAAAAGCCCTCATTGCTTTGCATAAATCAACTGATCTTAGGCAAGTGACTTAACCTCTCTGGGCCCTAGTTTCCTCATCTGTGAAGCGAAGGGGTTGCATCAGATGGCTTCTGAGCCCCCTTCAGCTATAGATCCATAGATCTATATGGCTTCAGCTATAAACCCTTGGGTATATCCATCTACAAGGATCTATGATCATTTGACAGAGAGGAGATCCAGGAGTCATTTAGAAAGATGGTGATTATAGACTTCTTGGTTTCTCATCCCTGGGAGTTAGGGAGAGGGGCAGAGTTTATTAGCCCTACTTTATAGATATAGCCAAGATCAAATGGTTTTTCCATTGGTTCCTGCTGGGATGAGGTTCTGGGACTTTGGAGGGTTGAAGATATAATCTGCTTGGGAACCATCACAGATGGAAGAGAGCCCTGGGTACTGCACTGCAGTGCTTCTGGTCTGATGAATGAGTGTCAGAATGAATAAATGAAAAAGCATTTATTAATCTCTGCTCGTGGGGTCTAAAAGCACGGACCCCCTCCTCAAGGGAACTTCTAGTCTTCTCAAGGAGGTCTCTGGTCTAATAATCTATTTGTTGTTCAGGCCTGCCTGACTCTTCACCACTCCATAGACCATAGCACACCAATGCTGTCCATGAGGTTTTCTTGTCCAACGCTTTAAGGCAAACAGAGGTTAAGTGACTTGCCCAAGATCAAACGAGTGTCTGGGCCATGTTTGAACTCAGGTCCTCCTGACTCCAGGGCTGGTGCTCTATCCACTGCATCACCTAGCTACTCATGGTTACCTATTAATGAGTAGATTAGGAGTATACAGAATACAGACTGATACCCAGAGCAAGAGATTGGTCAGGAGAAGATGGCTGGAGGGTCTGGGGTGGCAGGGCAGATAGAAAGGAAGAGAAACATAGCATTAAGCACCTACTACGTGTCAGACACCATACTAAGTGCTTTACAAATATTTTCTCATTTGCTCTTCACAACAACCCCGGGAGGTAGATGGGATTTTGCCCATTTTACAGTTGAGGAAACTGGGGCAGGCAGAGGTGAGGTGATTTGCCCAGAGTCCCACAGCTAATAAGTGTCTAAGGTTGAATTTGAACCCGGATCTTCTTGACTGTAGGCCTAGCACTCTATATACTGCACCACCTCACCATCACTTTAAAGAGATATGTTGGTCTACTGAGTCAGAGATGGTGGTAGAAAGTAGACAAGGGAATAACCCAGAACACGGGCTTCTCTGGGAAGGCTCCCTGACAGCCCCACAGAGGTGGAGTGGCCTCGAGGCCACGGTTTCCCCACCCCGGCCTAGGAGAGGCTCTCAGAATGCTATTGTGGGAAGGGGCTTGGCAATCGCAAGGGTTCTCAACCTTTTCTGTGTCCTGGACCCCTTGGTGGTCAGGTGAAGCCTCGCAATGGGCATTTAAAAAAATCTGTCATTGAAAGAAGCACTAAATTTCAGTTAGAGATGAGTGAAAACAAAGATGTCATTTTCTCACATCCAAGCAAATGAATGAATTTCCCCTGAAATGTGTCCCTGGAGCCCTTGGAGTCCTGATACTGCCAATAATTCCAACCCCCAGGGGAAGGGGAAGTGAGGTCCACCGAAGCTGCGGCATCATGGCTTCAGCAATGGAAGGGACCTTAGATGCCTTGTCTAATCACTTGCCATATTTTACAGATGGGGAAACTGAGGCCCAAGGGTAAGCAGTAAAGCTAAGATGTGTAAATTCAGATCTTTCACTGCTCCTTCCCAGTCCGCCTGGAGGGCTGTCTCACTCAATCAGCATCATTTCAGCTGGGTGTGACCTGGGGAGGGGTGAGGTAGATGGTTCAGGAAGGAGAGAGGCCTGGAGAAAGGGGGAGGGAGGGAAGAGGCCTTTCTGCTGCCCCAACCCCCTTAGGT